TTTCTAGGGTAGCTTGTTGCTTGTGGCCCTGCTAGTAAGGCAGGGGGAGTTTGGCCATGACGAGGAAGGTCCCTTACTGTGAATTGCCTCTCCACTAAAGCTGAGCTTCAGCAGTGGCTGGGTGGGACGTGGTATATGTGAAAATCAGATGGGTCTTTGGATCTGAACTGTCAGTTATGAGCTGGCTAGGGGGTATCACACTTGTATCTGCTTGACCATGTACCATCTAGGGAGGACATGAGTGTTGCAAAAGGTAGCTTGTGCTCTGATTGAAACCACGCTCTTTGCTTACTGATGCACCTTATGCATAGACCGACTTGGGTGTTGGGACTGGTTAACGTGATTTTTTTATGGAAATCTTTCCAAGGTCACTCTTTTAAGATACACACCAAATTAGCAATTGAACGTTTCTATCTACAGCATGTTGGTGTAGAATGCTGGGATGTTGGCATTACTGTATTCTTCGTTAGAAGAGCAAGTGCAGCTGTGGCAAAATAACCATAACTTGTGGCAAGTAATTCTTGCTAAAGTGCTAAAGTGGGGTATTGTAGAGCTGCATATTATCAGACCTCACAACTTTTGCAGTATCATGCTGTACCTCGGTCCACTCTGTTTCTCCTAGAGATTAACTGTAGGTGAGGAAGAGAGGGCTTTATAACACATGTTCATGCCTTTTCTCATGCTAATCCTCGATACAGATGCAGCAGGTGAAATGCCTGGATCGTCCCTGACATTTAATTTGTGTGAACACAAGAGCAGATACATGTTGAAATGTGATTTCTCTTGAAAGGCTTTTTTTTTGGTGTGTTCTCTCTCTTTGCTTTTATGTTTTATGACTATGGGAGATTACTTCTCCCAGTGAATTGCCACTTAGCTCAGTAGAGCTTTCCAAATACTTTGCATGAGTAGAGCCATTCCTGTATGCCACGCTAATGTCATCGCTTGTTTTCTAAGCAAAATTCCTGTATTTGGTCTGCTGAAAGGTGGAATCTTCTATCATTATTTGGTTGCTGGGTGCCTCAGTGGGTGTAGAAAACATGGGTGATGGATGCATTCCTTAAAATGACACCTCTGCTTGAGTTCAAGCTACGTTAATGCCTTTTTTTTCCACATAATTTTGCATAACATTTGAATAAAATTGCATTATTAGTTTTAAAAGCCTTGAAGAGCTGTCAGGAGWTCACTAGATTCATTCTTTCGTCAGTTTGCGTACTCGCATGAAGAAAACATTTAATCTGAGACGTTGGCTCAGATATTTGTTTTGCAGAGTAAATCCCATTGGAGACTGTGCTGTTTAGCTTCTTAAAACATATTGAAGACCAATGTCTGGCACGAATATCAGCCTTTTTTCTTAATCAGAACATCTGTGGCATCTGGTTTTTGGGTTTGTTTTCCTTTGGACTGTATACTGCTAAATTCCTGCCTACTTATCTTGCACGGCTTACAGCTGTTGTGAGTAACCCAATTTCCTGCTAATAATGCCCTTGAAGGGAGTATTTTTAATGTATTGTTAAATCCCTTTGACCAAAGCACTGATGAATTTGTGTGTTTTCTTTTAGTTGCAGATTAAGGCTCTAAATTCTACCTGTTTATAAATAGAGTAATAAACCTGCTTAAGCACTTGTGTACTTCTGGAGTATAGCTTAAGCTTTTTGGCATTTATTCCTTGTAATGTTTTTATATTTGGACAAAACTGGGAATTTCTTGCCTTTTGAGGATTAAGTTACGTTTTTACATAAATAGAGGAACAATGTGATTAAGCTAAAATAATCTTAAGTCAACCTTCAAAGGATGCATTTCCTTAAATACCATCCTTTTGTCACAGATTTTTTTCACCATATTAGCAGTAACTTTTGATCATTGCAGTTGGAAACTGCACAGATAAGTTGGTTACCTCTGAGCATGTTTAACAAAGAYCATTTAAATGACTTTTATTTCCCTGCTGGTGCGACTTTCCACATGGTATTCAAAGAATTGTTTGGGATGGCTTAATGTTCATTTGCTTTTCTCAGAAATGCTGTCCCATATTCAGTTCTAGGGGTTTCCAGAGTAGCTTTACTAAAATCCTTCCTATTTCCCCTRTCCTCAAATCTTGCTGAGTACCTGTGAGGTGCCTGGGGGAAACACTGGACTGGTTTTGTGCCTGGAAATCAAAAGGGGTTAATGTGAAATTGATACTCAGAGCACAGCCCCAGGTGCTCAGGAGGAGGATGTTGAAGCTTGAGAGCCTCTGTTCCCCCCCTCCGCCCYGGTGTGATTGTGGTCTCATTTCAGACATGGAATATTTAGAGCATATAATAGGATTTTTATATTTACTTATTGCACCACCGGCATGTTATTGTAGGAACAATCAAATAAGTTATATAAATAAATGAGTTATRTGTGTGCAGCTTGTTGAACTTGATATGTTTGGCTATTTCAGCTCTTTTTTTTATTCCCTTCAAGCTCTGGTAACTGCGATCTCCGATAAAGCTCCCTCATACGTAAGGGTCAAAAACTGAATAAGAGGCTGTTAATGGAGCTGAGTGGGAGTTGTAGAGAAGGAAGGATGGGAATAGAATCTGCCTAAAGATTTTTTTGTTTTAGCTTTGGCAGTGCTATAAAATGGAGTGAAGGATAAAAAACCTGATCCTGTCGTTTATTCTGGACTGTTTTGATTAATTTGAGTGGATGGTAATTAATAGGCAGCTGAAAACTGGTGTCTTGTGAGTGGTGACCCTCTCCAACTTGTGGTCCCTCTAGCAGGAAAATAACGGACTGATAAAGGATATTATGTCCTTGTGGTTGAGAACAGTTGTATGTATTTACTGTACAAGGATCCTTCCCAATCAAATTGTTCAAGATGTAGAGAAGTGGCTTGTGTTGAAATTAAATTGATACTGTGTTAATGTAGAACTTAAATTTCCAGGCCTTTTAAAGCTAAATCCTGACTATTCAAGGTAAAGTTAGTTTGGGTGTGTATGAAGTGCAACAGTGTGCAACAGGTGTTCTAGGGGAGTTGCTTGCTGTGCTTGTAAATTTTGGCCTTCATAACTAATATAAAATGTTGTTATTTTTTAAATTTTCTTCTTTATTTTTCTATAGAAAATAATAATAAACAATAGGAATGTGTCTGTTAAATAGTAAGGTAACTTGTACAATCAACAAAAAATTGATTTTTTTTATTCATTTATAGAACAGGCACATGTGACTGATTTTACTTTCCTTGTATACACACATATGTATTTATTTTTTATTTTATTTTAAGGATTGGACCTATCCCATGAGGAGAGAGATGCAGGTATGGCACACTGTTTTTTGCTCAAATATTTTAAATAAATAAATACTGGTGCATCCAGTATAAAAAATAAACTGCCCTGCAGAAGAGCTAGTATCCGAATTCCACTTCAGCTGCAAGGTATCAGGCATGACCATGAAAGAGAGATGACTCTCCAAAGGAGGAGAGACAGAAGTTCTTCTCAGGCAATATAAGAAAAACAACAAAACAAAAACCACCCCAAAACATTTGCTAAGTGTTGTCCTGTTCCCCCAGAATTCCCCAAATGCAGGACTTCGTCTTTGTGAATGTTCTTAATCRATGATCACTGCTATATATCAGAGCTTTGCTTTTTGACATAAATTTTGTTAGGTCACTTAAACAACTTAAAACTTCTGTATTGTGTCAGCTCATTTTTTTGCTCAGGATAAGTTTTCTTTCTGATGTACCTGGTTTTTACGATGGGGAAATAACTGGTTAAAAATGAATATTTTTCTAATTGGAGTGTAAAGCCAGCAGTCTATGTGTCAGGTAACAAGTTCCCTTGAAGCCCACGTTTGTCCTGAGGCTGAGCAAGGTGTGGCAATCTAACCTGAACCTAATCCGAGGAAAGGACCTAATTTCTATTCCAAAATAAGATCTCCTGCACCAAGATCATGTTTCTTCTATTCTGCCAAACAGATTTTCCCTTACCCTGTTATAGATAACACTTGAGATCACGTCTCTCACTAACATGTGAATTACTCGTTTCCATGGGCCAAGTTTGAGTTGAGTGCAATGTATTATTTTAAATAGTTTTGAGCTGGTATTAAATGTCTGTTTTGTCCCTCCTCTAGGAAATTTTACCTGGGCTATTTTTAGGCCCATATTCTTCAGCTATGAAAAGCAAGGTAAGATTTTATGTATTTATTTTCAGAATAGTCTCTCATAAGGATCCTTGGCTTTCACGATTTGTTATTGTGGGGTGTGTGCAAATCTCTCTACAATCCTCTACCTTGTTTCATTTTCCATTTCAATCAAAGTAATAAACTGGGCAATTAAGGGATGATTCCTGTRGTCTGAAGGATAGCTGGGCAGGTATCTCTCCCTCCCTCTTTCCAGAGCGGGTCTGACTACCCCATCACTCCATTGCATGTTGGGGCACTTGGCACTTAAGACTTTTTCTTCTTAACAATCATGAGAGCTAGAGAGTATTTTAGGGGAAAAACAAAGCAAAAAAAAAAAAAAAAAAAAACCTGATTGATTGTCATGTGGTTTGAGGAAATATTTGCACACACACTCTAGCTGGTCAGCTTTGCCTTTTACATGCAAAAGGAAATATTGCAGGGTTGAAATGGCTTCGGTACTAATTTATGTTTTAGTTTTTGTATTAAAATTCTGAATTTCAAATTTGGTCTTAAAGATTTTTTTTAGAAAAAGATAAACATTTGAGGTTTGAACACCGTTGGTGCAGGCAAACTGTTTGTTTATTAAAGGTGTTGCATCAAAGCTGGGAAGCTACATCCGTGTAATAAAACACAGTAAATAGCAGAGCTTGACTTTATTGGAGATGCAAAGAAAAAGGCTGTATGTGCAAGTCTGCACCACAGCCTGAATGATCTGACCTCCCGTGATCTGACTCCAGCAAGAATCCAATGCTAGCTGGAAATTACTGCAACAAGCAGGAACTTGCRAATTCGGGAGAACTGGAACGTGGGCAGAGACGAACAAGTTTGCTAAATGTCGCCTTTGTTGCATGCTCTTTYTATCGTTAGGAATTTTTTTTTTTCTTGTAACTCCTAATGGTTGAGTTTTGTCTTTTTGGAAAGACAAAATAGTTTCATGTGCTATGCCTTGAATATCAAAAAACTAACACTGATTTTCTGTGAGGACTTCATCTATTCCTGTTGTATTTTTAAGTGTAACTTTTCTTTTTATTATTCTGTAATTAAAGTGAATCGTATAGTTAAATCTAAGTTTTTTTTTTTTTTCTCCTACAGCTACCTATACTTCAGAAACATGGAATAACCCATGTAATATGCATACGGCAAAACATTGAGGCAAACTTTATCAAACCAAACTTCCAACAGTTATTTAGGTGAGAAGTGAACATAACATTCAAACCCATAAACAATGAACATCTTTCTTTTAAGGCTTGTTTTCTGTTAACAAGATTTTAAAAAATTTTTTTAGTGTTTTGCTAGCGTTCGTCCCAAGTATTTTCATATCAAAATTGTTGAATTTTTTGTAGGGAAAAAAAAAATCTTGAAAGCAAACTATAAATTATGTTTATCCTGCTAAATTCTGGACAGAAATGAGTCTGCAAATGAGAAATATCTGTTAGTTTATAGAAGTTGTCTTCACTCAGTGAGTTGTTAGCTCTGAGTACAATTTGTCCTGTGAATAGTTAAAAGCACTTGGCATTAACATGTTCAGAAAATATGTACTTCTGGAGAAGCTGCCAGAAAGGCTCCGGAAAAGAATATTGGCCTGTATTTACATATTGATGTTGAGGCTGTGAGTATATAATATATTAATTAAAAATAGAGGTGAATGTTCCGAATTTTTGGGAGAGGTCCTGGGGAACCTACTTGTGTATTTGCCTGTGACAGCTCAGGAGGTGGGTTTTGCTTTTGGAGCCCAGCCTGGAAAGTGAAGCCATGTAGGAATCATCTGCACATGTAGATGTGGTGGCCACATTCAGCAGTGTTGTGTGCTCAGAATAATTGTTTTCATTGCAGATATTTAGTCTTGGATATTGCAGATAATCCAGTGGAAAATATAATACGATTTTTCCCGATGGTAAGTGCTTATGTATCAACGTGATTATATGGGGAGAGAAGTTGTCTGGTAAGATATTTCTGAAGTGACAGGTAGGAAATTTCAAACCTGGGATGCCCAAGGTGAGGCCCTTGAAGAGTTCTCAGCCTTGCGATGCCTGTTAAGCAACAGGGTGGATTATCTCAACTGCACCTTATTTTTCTGTGCTTACGGAAAGGAGGTGTAAATTGTCAGGGAGCACAAGGCTGTATTATTGTCTTCTTTTTCCTGGGCACCCAGTATTTTCATATTTTCAAAAAGAAATAAAATAAAATAGGTCGTGGAAGAAAGCTGGTTATTTGGAAAGTTATTTGACTTGTAGGAAGAATTATTTTCCCTTTTCCCCCATTGAAAGATGGAAATTAGTTGATGGAATTTCAGCTTTATAGCACCTGGAAACATGCGTTTCCTGTGGAGGACTTGAAGTTATTTTAACTTAAATAGTACCCATTACATACTGAAATTTAGGACCAGAATAATTTAATTTGAGCTTTTTTTTTTTTTTTTTTTTAACTTTTAGGTTAGTTTGTAACAGAGCTCAAACAGTTTCTTTCTTTTCCTTCTCCCAGCCCCCTAAAAAATAAAAAATAAAAAAGTCGCCCTCTGACCTCGCTGTGCATATCAGAGGTGATTGTGTTTTTACTGAATGGAAAGGCAAATTGGCCGATGAATTCATCCCTGTTCTGCTCCTGGCAGTATAATGACTTTGGACTTAAAAAACATCCTTTACAAGTCTTGCAGATACATGCATGGTTGTAACTCAGTTTTAGTGTATTTTTAAGAGCCTGGTATGAGTTTTCCCTACAAGAGAATTACCTGGCTTTTCATCTAATCAGCTGTTTCAACACTTTGACATAATTGTCCCTATTTGTGCTGCTTGGTTATGATTTTYTTCCATTTACTTGTGTTGCTAGCTTTGATGATTGTCCCACGATCAGCATCAACTTTCTTACCAATGACACAAGATGTCCAGTTGTGTTTTTATAAATATTTTTCTTACYTCTCTGGGTACAAGAAGAGATTTTGTATTTCCAGCTGCTTTTGTGTCTATCAAGATTCTTCKGTGTTGTAATGTCTAGAGCGTGAAAATGGGGAATATCCAGCTGGATTTGGTCAATCAATACTTAGCATTATTCCATAGAGCTCAATTGTGTCTCAGTTATATATTCATTAGACCTATTTCTGTAACTGAAAATGTCCTTGAAGAACTTTGGGGATTTGATTTAGGAACACGGTTATCTGTGCTGTGGCTGTATCAATGCTGAGACTCTTCACCCCTTCTCCTTGCACCCTTCCCAAACTGTTAGACAAAGATATTTGGAAGTTATTTTCATTGCAGTGTCCTAATTGCTTACATTAGGGTTGTAAGTAACACACTCAGTAGATCTTTATGCATTTTGAAAATTAAATGCACCTGGCTTCATGCTGTTTCTCTCTGACAATTTTATGGATAGGTGGAGGTATAAAGGAAATCTGAATATGCCGTAAAAATGATTGTCTAAGACTGTAGTAACAAAGTGAGTTACTGCCACTTTGTATGGAGACTGTTATAAAAATTCTACCAAATCTATATGCTACTACCATATGCAGTTAGAATCTTCTGAAACTGAGTCTTGTAATTCTTTTTTTTYCCTTTTAGACTAAAGAATTTATTGATGGAAGTTTACAAAGTGGAGGTAAAATCGGATTTACTTTTTTCTTCATATACTAATATTGTGTTGTTAAAGCTTCAAAAAAATTAGTTGGTATGTATTAGATGTTCTTGAGTATGAAATCTTCTTAAATGTGGATGTTTAGTCTGGTTGATTTATGCTGTATTATACAAGTGGAGAACGAAGTGTTGTTCTCTCCTTTTGCCTCAAAACTGGATAGCCAAAACCTTTGCCCATATTTTCTCACCTTAACTATGGACTAATAGGGACTGTCCTTTCTCCAGTGAAGGGACTTAAATCTGCCTTGCAGTCATAGGAATACAGAATTTGTTGCTCAAAATCCTTACAGGAGCAGCCGTCCCAGGGCAGTTACAGACAGAATCTAGGTAGTGATCTAGAGTGAAGTGCAAGACCCGCCAGTTATTCCTCAGAAAGCCTCTTGCTATTGCATAGCTGTTCGTGGAAAGGAGAAACTTGAAAGATTTTTTTTTTCCCATCTACACAAGTAGCTTTTTTTTCTCCTCAGGAAAAGTTCTTGTCCATGGAAATGCAGGGATTTCTAGAAGGTAGGAAACTATGCTTTCTGCTTTTTTATTTTTGAAACCATGGGAATATATTTTTTTCTATTTTATTTTCTGTTTCTTTTCAGTGCTGCCTTAGTTATTGCATACATAATGGAAACGTTTGGGGTGAAGTACAGGTAAGAGCAAGTGGACACTGCATGGCCATGTAGCTATTTGTATGAAAAAAGCTCAAGTAAGAGAATGTTAACAGATAAGAGGTCTGACTGACCTATAGGTGCTAACTTTTAAATCTAAGTGGCTTGAGTAAATAATTTTGGAGAGAATGTAAATGCTCCCATATTGATGCATAAGCCAGTTCTTACGTATTGAGGCTGAGCAAACACTTTCCTCAAAGTGGAGATTTCCATTTGTGTAGCACAAATTTGTCTGCACCCTTCCTAGCTACCTGCTGCTAATGGAAACAAGGTGTTGGCCTAGATACACGGATGCCTTGCAGAACAACTGGGGATAGCAGAGACTCCAAGAGGTTGTTGCAAGTAATGTGTTCAGAAGAGGCCAGTGAGCTGAGGATTGTTACACAGTCACAGTTACACAGACCAGTTCCAGGGAGCTCTTAAAAGTTCTATATTTTCTAATAACTAACAATCAGAAGGAAGACTCATACAATAAACATTTGTCTGTTTTCAACTATGTATTTTTRCCTGTTCTGTTTTACCTGTTTTACCTTATCTCTCCTTGTTTTCTTAAGGGATGCATTTACTTATGTTCAAGAAAGAAGATTCTGTATTAATCCTAATGCTGGATTTGTCCATCAACTTCAGGTGACTTTTTTCTTTCTTCTTGTCTTAACTCAAAAACCATTTGAATCCTCTTGCTACAAAACAGCCATTTCTACTTAGGCATAATGTGTGTGGTAAAAAGAGGTTTCAAATCTCAGAAGTTACAGTACAGGTTGGGAGGAAGGAGTGGGGTATTTTAGTCCATTAGACTTGAGCTTTAGAACAGGAAACCCAGGAGGGGAGAAGAAATGAAAATCCTGTTTTATGCAGTAGCTAAGAGGCTCTGGAATGGTTTAACTGGTAGCAAAAGACACCTGCAAGTGACTGTTTGGAGCATCTAAGGTGCCTCTTGGCAGCTGAAGTCATAATGGTGATAAAATTCCCAGGTCTGTAAAAGCGAAGTGTCACRAAGTGGCTTCATCACTGTATTTCATGGGTCTGGTTGAATTACAGGGAAGCTTGAGGACAATGTGCTGAAACAGACTTGCAGTGTCCCTAACTTGTTACTTGGTTAGCTGGTGGTAACGTGATTGGAATTGCCTGTTTTTCTTTAAACATCTCCTTCCGAAGAGGAGGAATTTGTAGTTCTGAATGTGACGTGTGTCAGCAGAGTGCAGCTGCCAGAGTTGTGCGATTTGTCCTTCTAACAAATCTCCAAAGTTGCTGTACTGAAACCACTTGGTTCGTTTTTGCTGTTTGAATTCYTGCTGGGAACAACAATGAGTTATCTAAACATTTTGACATAATTCTATAAAGAAATTTTTCTCCTCCTTAAAGCTATTTCTTATTGGCCTTTGTTTTCTTCCACTCTGCCCTGCTGACACTTTGTTCATGTCAGAATGGCAAAGAACCTACTTTAAAACCTCTGCTTTTCTGAAAGATACCTCTGATCTGCCCCGGTGAATTCTCTGAATTAGTCCTTTTTTTTTCCCTTATAAAGTACTTTATCAAGCTAATAGCAATATTAATCATCAAATTCTCTCAGGAATATGAAGCCATCTATCTAGCAAAATTAACCATCCAGATGATGTCACCACTGCAGTTGGAGAGATCTCTCTCGGTTCCACCTGGTACTACAGGTACGTCGAGTAAATAAGGTGGAGTTTGGGGGCGTACATGTGAAGTGCTCAGTAAAACAGGCATATACCGAGAAGCTGCTTTTCCTCATGGAGAAGTGTAGGGAAGCAAATGTGCTCTGGCAGGGAAAAATCCTGTCCTTAAAGGATTTTTCCTTTTAAACTTTTTAAAGTTGAATCTTTTAAAAAGTTCAGAGTCCTTGCAACAAAAACTGTCCTGTAGTTCTACTCAAAGCTGCTGTTTATTATAGCTGATATTTTCAGGTGTATTCTTCACCCTTCTTCCTCTACAGGAAGTTTAAAGCGAATGCATGAGGAGGATGAAGAACTTGGGAACATGCAAGTGGCAGCAGCACAGAACGGATGACATCCAAGGACACCATTGTTAGTATTGTCAATTCCTACCAAGAAAGGTGAAGAAAACTCGGGAAAAAAGAACTAATAATGAAAAATGATGAACACACACACACACACACACACACACACACACACACACACACACACAGAGCTTCTTTACAATTACATGTTGCTTTCAGATGTAAATCTGCCTCTGCAACACACTAAGCAACATTTTTAAGATGTTGGACTTCTTGAATGAATAGATGGCACTGATTGTTTTACTCCTTTTTTACACTTTACAGTTTTATTCTAAACCAAGATTTTTGGACTTGCAAAGAGGTATTATTGCAATAATGCACTTTTCATACTTGAAATTTCTTTATTTGTATGATATAAAGTTATTACTTTAAACAAAATGCAAGTTGGGGGGATTTGTTTATAAAGTTATTTGTGTAATTTATAACAAGAGACTTTAGTAAAGAAAAAGTTTGCTAAAATTCACTTTGTTCTCAGTGTATGTTATGATCATGCTCTCAGAAATGTGGCTTTACAAACTGCACTAGGCACTACTGTTGACATTTGTCCAACAGCAACTGTCTGATTTGTATTAACTCTTTACTGTGTTAGAAAACCTCATTATATACTGAATCAGCTTGAGACTCACATTCTGAGGCGAAATTAAGAGAAAATACTGTTCTAAGAGGCTCTACTTTTATGAGATTTTAGTAGAATACTGATTAATTACTTAATAGTCATGCACTAAATTAATATAAGAGCCAGCTACCAATTTAACACACAGTAAGACCAAAATCTTTCAGCCAGCATTAAAAAGCAGTTTGTTAAATTAGGTATCAGATGATTTAAATGTTTTAATGTTAAATTAGGTATCAGTCAGTTGAACAAGCCAGTGTGGTCCAGCTGCTACGAGAACACTGCATCCTGTAACTGGTATTGAAAAAGTAGATCTTGATGCAGCATTTGCATCATTTGAGTTGAAAAATGGGTTAGTATTTGAGAACCGAGGCACAGAGCACCAGATACCAAGAACAAAGTACTCAGCTCCTCTGAAGTGTTAGTCGGTTTGAGGCTCTGATAATGTGTGTCCTTAAGTCTTCCGTTTGGGAATTGTCAAGGCAGTTCATGCAGCTTTAGCTCTTCCTGCTTCCCAGAAGTACAGGGACGGGCACTGGTTGWGCAAGACGGTCTCAAGGCTGCATCCGGCTGCCTTGTTTGCTGCTCAGCTTGTGAGATAAAAGGTAGGATTGAAGTTCTGGCTCCTTCAGAGCTTTGTGTTGACTGAGCAACTTGCRAAGCTGTTAAAATAAGCAGTGTGTATGGGAAGTATGATCTCGTAATTAGACTATATTTCAATAATGAACAGATGGGCTGCAGACTCTGAATTGATATTAAAGAGGCTCTGGGGGATCTGAGCAGCCGGCCTCCTTCCTTGTACTCTGGCTATCCAGACACATCCGTATCAACGTCCTCCAGGAGCCTCCCAAGGAGCAGCTTGCTCTCCAAGGATGTAAGCAGCAGCCTAGTCCAGCCTGGAGGAGCACATGAAGAACAGAGCGAGCCCGAAGGCTGAGGGCATCGCTGAAGGCCGAGATGTTTGAACACGAAGGCAGAACTGCGAAGCCATTTGCACTGCGAGGAGCTTTCGGGTTCATTCAGGAGCTTGTTTACTTTGTAGGAGCAACGCTGGCGCTGTGTGCTCAAGCCAAGCTGACCACGCCTGGGCCTTGCTGGTCTCGGCTTAGTCACTGCTGCTCGCCGGGCCTCCCTGGGGAGCCGGCAGAGTGTGGGCCTGCGCCGCCTGCCTCGCTGACCTGAGAGCTGAGCTGTTCTGTCTGGGGTGGAAACACTGCCCGCCGTAACACAGTCTGATACAACAGAAACAGAAGGAGGAGGAAATGTTCTTGCAATAAGTCAAGCCGAGCAAAAGCATCTGGGTGAGGCTTTATGGCCTAATAATCCCTTCTCGTGCGCAAGGGGAAGGCCGTGCTGGGCGTGCAGGGAGCGCTCACGCCAGCGGAGGAGAGACTCGGCCAGCAGACGGGCTTTTCTGCCCCTGTTCCCTGCTACCTGCTTTGGGGATGGTCCCAGGGCAGGTTTTTCTTTAGGTTTGTGTTTTTTAATATGTGCCGGTATGACAGAAACCTTTTAGTTTGAGAAGTTTTGTTACCCATTCTAAGAACTCCAATGTGTTAGTCTCGCAACGCTGCTCAGCACTGCTGGTTTTGCAGTTGGGGGCGTTTATTATGTGCTCTTAMGTTGACTCTTTAAAGCAGCCTCTGGGGCTGTGGGGAGCGTCTCKGCAGCTTCAGCAGGAGGCCGGGTGGGCAGCTCGCCCACGTCGTGTGGGGGCAGGAGCCGTCTCGGGTGGCTCAAGCTTCTGATGAAACCAGGCTGGGAACCAGAGCTGCTGCTCAAACCCGCTTCCTATTTCGCAGCCCCCGGGGTCCCTGGGGAGGGCTGGGGCTGAGACGCAGCTGCACCAGCCCTCGTGATTCATCTGCCTSTCCGTGGCCGGGGAGCCGTGCTCGTGTGCAGGCCGGGTCTGTGGCGCCCCGGCTCCCGGTGCTTCCCAGGGGAGGCTCTTTCACAAACCAACACGCCTCGTGACTAAGGCTTTCCCCCGACCCCCCTTCGTAGCCAGCCTGTGAGCCCTTACTCATCTCTTCTAGCGTTCTTCCTTGTGCCTGCCTTGCAGACTACACCCTTTCCAATCCCAAGGGATGCCGAGATTCAGTTTTTCCTCAAACATATTTTTTGTGATCTCCTGTGTCTTGCAGTTAGCTTGCTTCACTTGTGGTGTGCTTTCTGAAGATCCCGAGGTAAAAACAAAGCTGAGAATTGGTGGCAGGGATCCCTCGCTGTGGGTTTAGCCCATTGCTACAGGCACCATCTTCCCATGCCAGATTTTGGTWCCTTGGTGTTCTCTCTGGTTCAGGAGAGCCCCCAACCCCACGGGGTCCYCACAAGGTGGCTCATGAGGAGTCCTTAGACTTAGTGCCTAGGAGTAGCCCTAAAGCGTGAGGCCTCCAACTGACCTGTCAGCTAAGGAACAGGGCAGCACCTCCCCTGGAMCACGGTCCCTCTTTGTCCCTCATGAAGAGAGCATCTAATAGCCCAGCCGTTACACCGGGGTGACAGCACCTTTTCTGACTAAACCTCAGGCTCTGTAACCTCAACTGCGTGGATAGTGGGCATGCCAAAGCTGACAYGTCACCTCTGTCACAAAGAGCTCTTCAAAGCCATGCTGAGGAGCGGGACTAACCCCAGCTAAGGACCGTCATGCAGCCCCCCCAAAAAAGTGAGGCTTTTGGGCCAATTCAGTTGTGTTRCAGTGATCCACACTGGGTACACAAGCACCTGCTCCTCACATGTACTAATCTTTTCATTAACTCATTATGAGGGACCTGGAGTTATTTAGAGGGTATAGAGAATATGGAATTTAAGTAATCCACTTAGATTTAGTATAAATTCAACTTTGATTAAAACTGAAACAGGTAAGAAAACCACAAAAATATAGCTGATTTTAAGTAGTAGTTCAAATTTAGGGCTCGGGAAATGTACTGTTTTAGCAGTTTGCACTCAGGGTAGAAAACAGAGTCCTGAACGACTCGAGGAGCTGAGAAGCTGCTGAGAACAGAGAGGCCGGGTCACCCCTGGCGCTCGTGTCACTGCAGCCTGGGGTCTCTCTGCAGCCGCCCCTATTGCACCCAATGTCCTGAATACAGGGTCAGCTAAGGAGAAGAGCACCCAAGGGGTTTGTAACCAGCAGCACAGCTCYGTGCTTCACCCATATCACACATATAGGCTCATGCTGCATGCCAACCTGCAGGCAGAACAGAGCAAGATGAAAAACAGCAGACAGAGCTGGCAGTCTTCATTTATTCAGCTTAAAGATTTTTTTTAAAAAATAATCAATAAATAAAACAGACATCACCAAGGAAACACTATATTGAGTGGAGTACCGTCCGGACCATTAAATAGAGCCCCCACCACAGCTTAAAGTAGCTCTCCAGAGCACAATGCAAAGAACGCGCTGTAAGGCGCAGCCGCTCACAACCAAGACGGGCTGTTCTGGACAAACCTTCATGTATTTATATAATGCCCTATTCAGAGATGCAGGATTTGTCATTCTCTTCACACAAAACACTACTGTTGAAACAAGGGCTTTGTACATTATTTGCTTGCCAGCAGTGGCAAAAGTGCTAAAAGAATTTTCCCAACATTATAGCGAGAGGGATGCTCCTAAGCAGCAGCAATCCCTCGGGACCAGGGTCTGGGATTGCTCTGCCAGCTGGCAGTGCAAAATGCCCAAGTGGTTACCAGCAAAACCACCGTGGCCCTGGCCCCGAGGAGTTCAAGTACAGCACGTTGGCCAGGGGTGGTCAGTGAAGGCCAAGGCTTTACTGCTTTTCACAGGCATCAACTGCCAGTCCCAAATCCCACCCCCCTGGAATCTTAATGAGATTCCCCACTAAAACGGGATATATTCTGCCTGTCAGACATTCCAGTTTCTCAGGTACCTTTGCCCTGCCACAAACCATGGGTTTGTTTTGTCAGAAAACAAGTAACTACCCTGAAAAATATAGTAAATTATCAGCTAAAGTGCAGGGCCCCAGCAGTATTAAGTTGCATCCATTTACACTCCCAAGTGTTTGCTTTTGTACAACCTGTAAGGATCTCCCCTACCAGTGCTTGCCAKAAGTTCAATTTTGGAATATAGTGCCTATAAAACTTCAGGTACACGAACATCAACCGCACTCAAGTGAGGTTTCGTGGAAAGAACCCACCAAATTCCCATTCCACATCCCTGATGCTGCGCAAGAGAAGCGTCCCCACAAGTCCCATCTTCCATCAGTGAAGTACAGAGAGGAGCACAATCCCATGACCTGGACTTTGGCTACCGAGAAAAGAAGCGCAAAACTTTAGAAAAATACAAGGCAAGAAAAAATTTGAGATAAAAATATATACCTTTGGTTAAAAACCATCCCCTTAACAAGATCCTCTGTAACCCAGCTAGAACAAAAAAAGCTTCACTTTGACCGAACAGTAGTAAAAATTAGTTCTAAGAGCTCATTTCCTACCCCAGAGAACCCTCCTAAAATGTCAGTAAGGTTTTTTGCAGGTTTTACACATCTTGACGTTGAGTATTTATAGAGATTGTTATATTTGCAGCAATGAACTATATAAATTTTCCACAAAGAGAATGTTCGTCGCACAAGCTCCTCCACCAACAGTCCTTAACGAAGAAAAAGACTCTAAGTTCTTAATTAAAGAACCGTTGAAACATGTAATTCTCTTCAGATACTGAATAGCCAAACTTCTTGTAGAAAGCCACGTTTTTTGGCAGACACTCGAGAGTAATTTTATAACAGTTCAGCCTTTTACTGAGCAACGTAAGGGTGGATGTTAATCTGGAAGAGACAGAAAACCAGAGGTTAAAAAAACTGAACACTGAATCAATTAACTGAAGCTGAAGATTTTAGTAGAAGCTGCTTTTGAAAACAAACTTAAGGACATTTAGATTCCTACAAGAAATACAATCCAAATTTTCCATGGGAAAAACTCAGAAAGTGCTTTTATTGGCCCTTTTCCTTCCCCCCCCCCTCCCCCCCCCAAATCTCCACAGAAAGCAGCATTCCAGCTAATTTTCCCCATGAAAACCACCGACACTTTTGGAGATGCACCTATTCTTGAGCAGGTTACGAGGCCAGTGTAAATGCCTGCTCACCACAGAGCGGCCTTACTCCAGTCATATGGACGTTTCAGAGCAGCCAGGGTTTCCCCGAGTACRCAGGACAGCTCCCATCCCGAGGGAAAAGGCAATCCCATGTCCTGGAGGCTATTTGTGTTTCTGCTGAGAGGACCTCAGCTCACACTGCCAGCTGGTGATACCTCTTGACCAAGTTCTTTAGGGTGTCTCAGCAGGGGAGGATCTGCCAGGCCATGCTGGGGAGCTAAAACGCTGCTCTGGGGTCTGGTGAGCAGCCCCATGGTGACTGCAGCCTGCAAGCCAGCCCTGCAGCCCCAAAGAGCACAGAGGAGAGGCAGGTAGAGCAGGGAGGGCAGCAACCACCCCCAGCGCCCAGAAAGGGACAGGCTGGTCGGRACAGCCACCAACGGGCACCACGTCCCCCTGCCACCCCGAGTGGCTCCAGGCTTGGCTCATCTCATCCGCTTGCCCTCGTGAGGTGACCACAGATAAGGGGCTCCTCCCCTGCCTGGTGATAACCGGCCAAGAGGGTGAAATACTTACAGTTTACCAAGCTGCTTTCCTCTGCACTCCCCACTCACTACTACGTCTTCTATCCTTCCTCTCTGTGAAAGGACAAGCAAGGGTTAGTTCAGCAGCACACTGCTGTTTGCATTTCCCTCTTGCTCCGTGTTTCTTGCTGGGAATTTCTGCTAACGGGATGCAGCTTCAGTGATTCCCGCYGTGGCCGACATGCTCCTCGTGCCCCTTCCAGCCCCCAGAGCAGRAGCTGCCCTCCACTGCAGCCGTTCTCTGGCTCCCTGTTCCACACGTCTGCCTGGGGCTCTACAGAGATCCTCAGCCAAGGCTCTACCACCAAGCCTGACTAGCTCAAAAGTTTCAGGACAAGAGAACGGGGCAGGCATCAAACTGCTCTTCACCTTAAGTCAAAGCTTCYTTTTACTATTTAGTTTAACTCCTAAGAGAGCAGCAGCTAAAAGATGCCTTTTCGCTGACACAGGAGAACATATTTTGTCACATAGCAGCACCACAAAAATAACCAGACGCAGTTTAGGGACAGGATCTTTTTCTCCACGTTGCAGCTGCAGTGAGAGAACGTACCTTTGCACAGGAGTGAGTGAATTTATGCTCTATAACCAGTGTTGCCGTAGCAACAATCTGCCCAAGATTGATATCTTCTATAACAGTGACATAGTAATCTCCAGATCTCTTCATGTGCTCAAATGTTTCTGTGGGAGCAGACAGACATTCCAACGGTCACTTCTAACACTGGCAACAGATTCTGAATGCAGATCGCTGAAGAATTCAGCATCACAGGCCGTGGTGAAAATGGTAACAGAAAACTCCCAAAACCCCAAAAGAGACAAAATTGGGATAAAGGAGAAAYGAAACAAATGCCTTTCCTTAGCTGCTAGGAGAACCTTCCTTCCTCAGCATCTCCACAGACGCAGCAGCCCCAAGGTGGCAGTACCCACACCAGCCCTGCTTACGTTTCAAGCAAGCCAGTGAAATGAGCTCGTAGCTCTTAACCATGGAGGAGCAGGGACAAGCTCCTGCCCCGCTGCTGGCACTGCCATCGTTGAGCCAGGACGAGCCATCCCCACTAACCTGTCACGTCCCTCTGGTGCAAAAGCCAAGAGGCAATTTAGCCCTTTGAGGTAGCAGCAGCTGAATGCAAACTGTAGGGCCAAATTCTGCCTTGAAAGATTAMAAAAGTTCCCCTGGCACCAGTCATATCCAGATCTACATCCAAATCTACATCCAGGTAGATTTGCTTTCGGCAYCAATATCTTTTGGTCCCAGCAATCTCTCTGAAAATGCCAAGAAATAATGATATACTCACTGATAAACTGCTCTGGGCTTACAACTCCGGTCTCAGTCAGCTGGCCCAGAACCTTGAAAAAGCCTGTTATAAAAGAGGAGAGGGGAAAAGGGATTCAGTGAGGTATAAAGACACAGTTGGCGCCAAGGGCACAGAACAACCCGCGACGGCTGCCTGCAGAGCTAACAGCCCCGGGGCTCCATCTAATCGCTTGCACGTAAAATGCAGCGTTCTGCACATTGCACAAGGAGACCGTAATCTTAAAAATCAAAATTGACCTTGAGTACGTTTGAGCATCAGCTAACGTATCAGCAAACTGCAACTCGAATACAGCCAGAACACACGCCACTTGCACTCAAACAAGAAATGTATAAGACTGAAATTATCTAAATATTAAGCTAAACATTCAGAACAGCCTTTTTTTCCTCTCTCACCAATTTCAGATCTGAAGAAACATCTATACACTAAAAATAATATGCTTGTTTACCTTTATTAAAGGGAACAGTAAGAACAGCTGTATTCCCTWTCCCAAAGGGTGAACAGGGAATCATGGATCATCTATGAGAGCTGGGGCTGTTCAGCCTGAAGAGAAGGCTGAGGGGAGACTTGATCAGTRTCTATAAATACCTTAAGAGAGGCAGTGAGGAGGAGGGGGTGGCCTCTTTGCAGTGGTGGCCACTGATGGGACTAGAGGAAACAGCCACAAATTGAAGCACCAAAAGTTCCACAGGAACTTACGGAAAMATTTCTTGGCAGTGAGGGTGCCCGAGCCCYGGCCCAGGCTGCCCAGAGAGGCTGGGGAGGCTCCTGCTCTGGAGATCTTCCCAACCCRCCTGGATGCAGCCTGTGCCCCGTGCTCTGGGTGACCCTGCGTGTGCAGGGGGTTGGACTAGGTGATCTCTAGAGCTCCCTTCCAACCTTAAGGGTTCTATGATCTGTAAGACTTGAGTTTTAAAACTGTTTTTTCAGCTTATTAACAGAGTAGAAGCAATTTTGAATGTCACCCAGCATACAATCATTCTAACACCAAGTGCTCCAATTCCTTTCTGTTAAAGATAAATAACCCCRGTGAGCTCAAACAAGCAACCCTTACCTCCCGAGAGATACCTCAGGAGCACAYATCATCTGTCCCAGCGCCCAGCTTTAGCCCGGGATCACCGTTAAACAGGACCTACCCCGGTTTAAGTCGGCTGTGCAGAGCGGTCTCATAACGAGCCCGTCTCCCGGGTCCAGCGGAGAAATGGCCGGGGAGAAGGTGGCCGTGTTCTCGCTCCAGTCGAGCTCGTGCAGGATGCTGGGGTCGAACATCGGCGTGTCGTCGGGCATCACGGCTGCCACGGGCATCATGGCTGCGACGGGCACTCTGCAAGACACCGCAGGACTYAGAGGGCACGGGCTGCTTTAACATCATTTTAATCAGCAATTATTTAATTTTAATTTGGTATCATTTAATCGTTGCAGTTTTAAATATTTTTTTCCTGGTTACACGATGCCACAGGATGCTGCCTGGCATGTAAAGCAGGGTAGAAGGAAGCAGAACTTGGTCACTTTATCTTTCCAGCGAAGCTCAACTTCACCAGACTAGTACACCGGGTTAAGCAAAGAGCACACGCTATCTAAAGTCAACACAAAGGCAGCCTTGATGTTTGGGCTAAGAAGTTGCTTTTGGAAGGAAAACAATAAAATAAAATATAAAATAAAATATAAAATAAAATATAAAATAAAATATAAAATAAAATATAAAATAAAATATAAAATAAAATATAAAATAAAA